AACGCATGATTCGAGGATTTGGCGTCAATCTCTCGTTAAAGAAACGATGGAGAGAGTGACTGATGCATCACAGGGCACTTACTTCCTTCTAGGTGAGAAGATTCTGTGCTTTTATTGTTAACAATCAACATTTTTACCAAATCATAAATTCCTTTAAATGATGAATAATGTATTTTTATTACAAAGCACATAATGAACTGTACAGAACGTAGTATTATTGATTATCTTAGGAAGTAATATAAATGTAAGTATAACGTGAACAATGTAAGGTTTTAAATAGTAAGACACATACTAAAATGAAAAAAACACATGATGAAACGTTTATCCAAAACGGAGCGGCCACTATAAATCTTCCAAAAGTGCACTGAATCACTATTGCACAATCATTATATAATAAGATTATAATCATTCATGATCACGGAAGCACAATTTAAATAATTGGAATGTCGAATACAAAATTGACACAATTTTCACATTTCGGAGCAGCATCAATATTCACATGAAACCATTTTGCACGTATGGATTCTTCCTCCATTTTCGAGTGTTCTCAAAGGCACCTAACTAATGCCTGTGACTACAACACCCTCTGACGTGAAAAAGAAAATAAGTTTTTATGTCGACATAAAACGAGCAAAATCGCTCCCCTGGTCTATCCAGGTATATAGAGCAGGCATGGGCAAAGCCTGACCCTCGGGAGCCGGGGCCATAAAACCCTATTAGACCCATTATTAGAAATACAATACCCCAATTGCGTGGAGCCCAGCGTAGTCAGGGTGGGAGTAGCAGCGTGTACGAAGTGGGGCGCAGTTAGACAAAGAGATCAGCGCGCGCTTTCCTTTCAAATTCAAAAAACCTTACCGCCTAAAAATTCAAACAAATTTTCGCCAATTCAACGTGGTAAGTCCTCAGTTGTATCGGGGGTAATGGTTCAAACAACATGGTGCCAGAAATTAATTATTTCTTGGTTACCTTAATGTTGAATAATTATTTTAGTAAAAATTGGAAAAAAATGAGATGTCAGTTCTTTAAAATTCAATCAATAAATTATGTATATAAGTTTTATAAGTTGCTCGTTGTTTCCAATCACTGGGGTTAAAGCAAAGGAATTTATCCCCCCCCCCCCTCACTCCCACCCGCTTCCAACAGGCTACCTACCCTCGCAATAAAATCACCCCTCGACAGGTACGTCTTCGGGGTAAATTAAAAATTCATCGGCGCCGCCAGAGAGTCTGCCCTATTCATTTTTTTCGTAAAATTGGGGACTACCCCGAACCATACGCGCCAGCATTTCCACGGATGAACTTGGCATCTCATAATTTGATATTAATTAAAAATTGTCGACGGCTTACAATACTTTTCAAATGTTTCCGTTGAAATTCACGGCAACTTTAGGCACCGATGTTTACTGATCCATGATTTGAAATGCCTTGGTCCAAGACTCTTGGAAAAAAACCATTTCAATCTGCGCAAAACAATATTTGAGATATTGAAGAGAAATTCCTCAGGAATTTCCTTTTAGTCAAACTTTTTCGAGTCGATAGCACGAAAACAATTCAACGGAAACTATTATCAGGCTTGCCCGATAATTCTAGTGGAACTCTATTAGATTTCTATAAATAAAACCTATATAAGTTTGTGATTGTATTCTTTAGAATTTTTTTTTAATATAAATGTCCCACAGAAAGCTCTGAGTTCGAAACGAATGGGATTTTTCCTTACATTTCAATCTATTTTTCTTATTTTTTGCCGATATATGAGCCAAAGGAGACAACTCAAAATGATTTTACCATGAAAATTCTGCAAGGAATTTTCTCTCAAATAATTTGTATGAACGGATTCTTTCAACTCCATTTTTTGTATGAATCTATTTATTCTTTTAATATTCATATTGGAACAAATCCCAAATAATTGTCTGGCAGACACTCACTCCACAATTGTCAGCCAGACCACATATTTTTTATTCTGTGAACATTTTTCAATTATTTTTGCTCCATCACTCTCTACAGCTAATAATTTTTATGTTTTTCTGCAGTAATTATTCATTTTCGTGGTTAGCTGGAAATGGATGAATTTTCAAATGTTCAACAGTGGGATCGATATAATGAAATAAAGTCAAAAAGTCATGAAATTATGGACTTCAAATTTCTTGTTTTCTTGTGCTGTTTCACGGTAAAAACTCTTTTAAATTTTTAAAATACTGCTGAGAGAATGTTCAAACAGTATTAACAAAAATTAAAAAATCTTTTCAACAGTTTTTTTCAATTAATTTGCTGCCGAAATATTCAATTCAGAGTAATTTATTCAATGGAAGTTGATAGCGGGAAAAATGATTAATTGATATTTTTTAACAATGCATAATGCAGCAAGAAAAATATTCATATTTTTCGTTCATAAATTCAAATTTTTGCGCGTTGACTGACGTAACGATAGCCCCACTCTGACCACTCTGATATGTGGACTTATTCCACAAATATTCGGGATAGTTTATATTTCAACATTGTCTGATTCGACATTACATGTTTTTGATAATATGTGCCACTTCGCGTGTCCTCATATTATGAGAAATTACCTAATACTATTTCTTAATTAATTGTATTTCTGGGGCATAACATCAATACAGATTAGTTTATTATTTGATTATCGATATTTCAAAAACTTAAAACTTTTCTGTTCCCCCAGAAATCTTTTTCTTCCTTCCTGTGAATATTCAATTTTTTATTCTTCAAACCAATTTTTCATATTCCAAATTATAAAAAAGAGAAGAAATCAGATGAAATAGAAAATTTTGTCAAAGAAATCAGGTAAATGTGGAGGAAAAATTACAGTTTTCGAACAAAAATTGAAAAATGGAAAAAAAATGAAAAAATAACAGATATTACTTTGTTATTGTTAATGCGTATAAATAATTGTTAATAACTAAAAAGAAGAAAGAAACTATTCTATTACTATCTCCTGATCAGGAATCTGATATCCGTACGTCGGGGAGACAAATAATTTCCTCCATACGTTGCAATTTATATACTGCGCTTTGCATTATTCAGGGACATGGCGAGGATGTAGCGGTGATCGGCTCCACAACAACACATGTTGGTACATTTAAAGACTAGGACAACACGAAGAGGTATATTTTTGTTTACTCACTCAACAACAACACCATTCACGGTGGGGGGCAATCGATCTGCTTTGGAAATTATTAACGTTGACACTCGGTGCAAGCATGAACACTCCGCTGTCCTTCATACAGCACATTCTATAATTAAGTTTATACTTATGAATTATAATTAAACAGTTCATCAAGGTTCCGAGGGACCAGTAAATCTCGACGACTCAGCTAATTCCCAATCGTTTGAGTATATATTCGCAAGATCATTTTTCTCCAATTTGTTTAATCATTTTTGAATTTGTTAACAAAAAAGGAACCGTGGAAAAAAAAAGTTCTCAGGGACCAGTAAATCTCGACGATTCAGCTGATTCCCAATCGTTCGAGTATATATTCGCAAGACCATTTTTGCCCAATTTGTTTAATCATTTTTGAATTTTTTAACAAAAAAGATATCGTTTAAAAAAAAAAGTTCCGAGGGACCCATAAATCTCCACATTTCAGCTGATTCTCAATCGTTTGAGTATACATGTTCGAGACAATTTTTCCTCAATTTTTTAAACAAATGGGGTATTTATGAATGTTAACTCGCTTTTTCATTCCGTTCATCGGTTGTGTCTCCATCATACCCCCACTCTCCGGTACATCGGATGTTTTCGTTCGTTTTCAAACGTCATCGTTATTTCGATAAGTGCCCTAACTTTCTGACACTCACGACCGCCTCGAATTATCGACACTCACGGGCTCGTGCTCTGTCTTATCCATACTCACGGGCTCTGCACATTATCAACACGCACGGACTCTGAAAATTATCGACACTCACGGGCTCGCGACCTGTTTTACTTAGACGTACGGGTTCTCTGGGTGTAGTTCCGTAGCCGCCGCAATGAATCACTCGCCAAAGGCTTTCCATAAGCCCTAGCAATCTCCCCTATAATTTCTGGAATTTACTCCAAAATGAAACGTGCTCCGAAATGACAACCCCCAACAGCTGGTCTCGGCGGCCATCTTAAATCGGAAAATTTAAATGGCACAGCGGTGTGGGACAATATGAGAATCATTTATTAACACGCGAATGACAATTTAATATCCGGATTCTTTTATTGAGTAATGTATGTACCCAAGCAATTCCTTACGTTTCATATGGAAGGTAGAAAGACCGTCCCCAAATAATTCTTAACGTATATAAATATAAATGTTTAGAAGTCGATTATACTCCCCTCCCTCACTACACTATCACTCGAAATTAATTAATTAAAGGAGTTTTATTCTTCCCTAAATAATTTGGTCTTGAGGAATCGATTCCCCAAATCATTTAAAAGATTTGAGTAATTTTAAAAAAATTTTGAATTATATGTTTGCTAACTATACGGTTCAACTTAAATAATTTATAATAAATCGAATAATTTTCCCTAAATGTTGAAACCTCCTGCCAAAATATCCCCAAATGATCTCCAAACTAATGAGCATAATTAAAATGCATAATTAATTTTTCGGTTGCCAAGTATATGGTGGTACCTTACCTATTATCTCTGCTGTCCTGCGCCATCTAACATTATCTACGTCTTTATTCTCTCATGTCGTTCATATGAGAACCCATCATCTGCACTCTCTGTTATAACAACTTTCAATGCGTGTTTTTTTATAGTAAGGATAAGAATACTAAAATCAAATAAGGGTGTAGAATCGGATATAATACAGCAGATTAATTGAGTATAAGATAGGAATATAGAATGTTTCCTCAAAAAGGTTCCATAAAACAGTCTTCCCCTGGTTTTTCTCTGAATCACCATTAATCGAAAATAAATGTGCAACTCTCCAAATGTGATATCTCTTTCAAATCGCATTGAAATGCGCTTTATATTTTGAAATTTATTTGATTCCCGCGTGCTAAGCCTTAACTTCCGTCGCTAAACTGTAAAAGTCAGCAAAACACTCCACATTGTGGTTGAGCTTCTGCCACCGTGGACAAGATGTGTTCAACAATTGGTGTAACATAAAGGCCTTATATGTTTTGAATATAAAGTGATCAAAAGGATCAAGATATGGAGTACTTCAAAAGTGGTCTAAAGTCAGTCCTGGGAGCTCCGGATCCAGGTACCCAGCCGACAGGAGCAGACACAGTGAGCAATAAACATTTTAAATCGCTGCATCGTAAAAAAATAATACATTTATAACCAAATGGATGATATTTATTTCAGTACTCAAAATGCCAATCCATCATGTTCCACCGAAATTACTTAAAACCTTGAAAAATTGAATCATATAGTTTTATGTTTAATATTACAATTCCAGGTTTTCAAGTTCTGTATGTACATCATTCATTCTAACTTAACAGGTTGAACGATTAGTGGACAGACTTCAATCGTCCAGCCTCCTAGATGATCGACGAGATGCTTGCCGTGCCCTCAAAGCACTCTCGCGAGCCTACAGAGTTGAAGTTGGAGCCCAGGGGATGGACAGCTTGAAACAAGTCTTAGAGATGGATAGAACAGACTGCGAGATTGTAGGGGTAGCTCTTGATACGTTATGCAACATTACGAGCCCAGAAACATTCGATGAAGAAGGTGAACAAATCAATCACTCACCAGGAAATTATAATCAAAAATATTCAGAGAGATTTAATATTTATGTTAAATTTAGAGAACCGTTTCTGCTAGATCTAGTGGATTCCAAGATATTCACACTAAAAACTTTCATTTGAACGCAAAATTTGAAAAATATTGGAGAACCATCTGTGATACAGCCTTGTATTCTCTCCTGTCGTCAATTTTTTCTTTTTTTTATATTTATTAAATATCTCGAAAAGAAAGATTGGCAAAAACTCTTCAAAAGTTCATGTTTAGCGCACGCTACATATTATCTCGATAATTATGAAGGTCATTTAATAAATCATTTATCCTGACTGAGAATCCGCAGATGGCCTGCTGGTAGAGATTTACTATGTATGCTGCTTGCAATTACTGAATAAAGCAACGAATTTCAACGCGCAGTTAGAATGAACAATCATATAGAAAGACCCTTGGATAGAAAAAAAACACCAAACTCTACAAGATCGATGCTTACGAAATTATACAATTTCCCCCTCTTCCCTCCAGTTTATTTATGAGATATTCTGGGAAAAAATCTATACAAATTTCGCTCATCACTTTCTTTTGATCAATCAATTTTCGATCTTTCACATGTTCAATCTCAGCATTTCCATATTAAATGGAGTTGACTTTTTTGTTACTTTAAAAATCATGCTCTGAGAAAACACCCGAGATTCCCAGCACTTTCACATCATAATCCCCTTGAAATTGTATAATAAAATTATCTAAACTGCTCGTACGATTCTTTCATTCTAGTTGACAAGCATGGTCTAGACTCCAAGATTGGCGAACAATTCACGGAAATATTTATAAAACAGCAGGACAGCGTGCCTCTAATCTTATCATCTCTTGAAGAATTTGATTTCCGAGTTCGGTGGCCCGCCTTAAAACTATTAACCAATCTCCTTTTAAACCGACCCAAAGACATTCAAGAAATCATCCTCGTCAGTAGAATGGGTGTATCCCGCCTGATGGATCTTCTCATTGATAGTCGGGAGGTTATTCGCAACGATGCACTTCTTCTCCTAATCCAAATAACCAAAGGTAATGCGAATATTCAGAAAATTGTTGCATTTGAGAACGCCTTTGATCGTATCTTCGACGTGATCACTCAAGAAGGTGGAGTCGAAGGCGGTATAGTAGTTGAAGATTGTCTTCTCCTGATGCTCAATCTAATCCGCAACAATGTTAGCAACCAAAACTTTTTCAAGGAGGGAAGCTATATTCAAAGATTAACTCCAATGTTCCAACTTCCACCGGATGCTGAAGACACGCCCTCATCAGGCTGGAGTCCCCAGAAAGTGGCAAACGTTCACTGTATGGTGCAAGTAGTTCGAGCCCTAGTAGCTCCCAGCAATCAAACCCAAATAGCCTCTGCTTGCCAGAAAATAATGCACTATTGTGGCCTTCTTCAGGCTCTCTGTGACATTTTAATGGCTTCTGGAGTTCCCGCAGACGTCCTAACAGAAACTATAAATGCAGTAGCTGAAGTGATCCGAGGAAACATTGTGAACCAAGAATTTTTAGCAAGTGTCATGGCACCTTGTAGTCCTCCGCGGCCTGCTATAGTCGTCCTCTTGATGTCGATGATAAACGAGAAACAACCGTTTATTCTTAGATGTGCAGTTCTCTACTGCTTTCAATGCTTCTTATATAAGAATGAAGTGGGTCAAACTCAACTAGTCCAGACACTATTACCCCAAACGAATGAACTCCCCGCATTAACCACTGGCCAGTTATTGTGCGGAGGGTTATTCTCGCCTGATCCTTTATCCAATTGGTTCTCTGCTGTTGCTCTCTCACATGCCCTAATCGAAAATATTAGCCAGAAAGAGCAGTTATTAAGGGTTCTCCTAGCTACGAAAATTGGAAAACCCCCAGTGACTCTTCTTCAGCAATGTGTTATGCTTCTCCAACTAGGTAATAAACCACAAAGCAAGCTCGGATTACTAATCCTTCTTTGCAGGTGGACATCAAACTGTCCGGCAGCTGTTAAAGCCTTTTTGGCTGTTGATTCATCCGTTGCTTACCTCACTGCTTTATTATCCTCTCACGAGAATAACGAGGATCTTCAAGAGATACTGATCCAGAGTATGTGTGCTCTATTAATAGGTATCTGTGTACATTTCAATGAAGATGATGTACCTAATTATAGTAAGGAGAAGTTATGTGCATTGATAGAAAATCGAATAGGGTTAGAAAGGTTTCAAGACGCTATTGGGGGTATTGCGAGACACGAAATTTATTCAAAGACTCTTAAACATCCTCAGCCCTCGGCAAAAACCCCGGGGGAGTTACTCTTGGATCATGAATTCTGTAGGTTACTGAAAAAAATAGAGAGCATTATTTTGGAGACAGTATTAAAAGGATCACATTCCAGTAAAGATTTGCATACGCACCTCTCGTCAGTTGACTCTGCATTAGTTTCACAATACAAAGATGTGATCAGAAAACAGGACATCCACATACATGATTTAAAAATGAAAAATGAGTTCTCAATGAGGGAGAAAGAACAATTGGATGGAAGAGTGAAAGAGTTGGAGGGAGAGGTACGGAATCTGAGGGACCAAAATATGGTTCTTCGCGCTGCACAGATTAATTTAGTGGAGAGACAAGATAATACAGAAGGGTCAATGAAGTGTAAAGAGGAGGAAGAGGCAGAGGCCATGAGGAGTGTGAAGGAGCTGGAACAGAAACTAGAGGAGTATATTCTGAAGGTTAGAGAATATGCGCAACGTGAAGAGAAATTTAAAGAGTTGGAGAGGACATTGAAAGAGAAGAGACAAGAGCTAGAAAAGACGAAAAAAGATCAAGATGATTTGTTGGAGCTATTGGCTGATCAAGATAATAAAATTTGTATTTTTAAGCAGAAGCTTGTAGCTCTCGGAGAGAAAATCGAATCTGAGGACAGCTTGGAAGAGATTGATACTGATGAACAACCAGAATCGAGTAATTGAGAGGAATTAAATATAATTTTCGCAATAGTTGAAGGTCAATACCAAATTTTCGCCAATAAATTCAGTCGCTGCAGAACAAGACTTTCTCAATCTTCTCAAATGAAAGTGAAAAAATTCTAGAATATCGTGGTTTTGACCGTAAACTCAAAATACATTTTCTTTTCACCCATTATTATCTTCGTTCAGTGAAAACCTATTATTTTGTTAATAAAATTAGCATGTGTGTGAATTGAAATATTCTTGAAGATTTTGTATTCAGCTCAGTGATAAGGTATTCTGTGCTATTTCAGTATACGCCACAAAATACAATTTTTTTATTTTTACCCCATTACAGACGAGATTCAAAAATGTTTCTAAAAAATGAAGATGATTGAAAAATAAATTTACCAAAGTTATGGAAAACTTGAAATTTGATATATCTTACACGTTGTCCAGTTATCATTGTTGGCAGCATCACAACAAGAATATCAGTGTGATAAAAAAAAGTTTGAGAATAATCTCTCATGGAATATCACTTCCTAAAAAATGTCGACACAAACGAGGGGAATTGAAAACAAATTTAATTTAATTATAAGAACGTAAAAACATATTGAAAACAATTTGCTGAATTTTTAGCAGATATGCAGCACCTAATGCACACCAAGCGGTGCGTACCATATCTGGTACATATCCGTTATTCGTTTCCGAACATGAGAAACGAAAAATTATAGTGTCTGGTAAAGTCCACAATCAAATTTCAGTACTATATTTTACAATAGATCTTACAACTTCCAACACCACAAGTATTTGACTTTGCTAAAATTACAAAAGAATAAAATCTCTATCATTATTGTGAAATATATTATAGAATGAACTACCCATTTGAGGTACTCCCATAATAAATTAAAGTTTGCGTATATAATCTATAAAATGTTAAAAAGGAAATACTGTGTAAATTGAACGCTAACTGTTCAAAAATGCTTGAAACTAAAAAAAAGAAAGAAAATCTGAAAAGTCCCGAGAAACGATGGACTACTTGGCCCCAGGGAACATACCTCACAAGTGCACTGCTTATAAAAATGGACTTATGTACTAAATTATAGATTGGTAGCATATGATTGAACAAGCACCGATGTTATTTACACGATGTACACTCTAATTAACTGTAATTTGAGAAATCATTTTCAGTGATGCGCGCTAAAAAAATAATTTTTTTCATTAGCCGATACTGAGTACTAATGATCGTTCTTGTGTGATACCAGACGCCAAAACTGAAGAATTGAGCAATTTAAATTTTTGCTTCATTACTTGACAATTCCGAAGAAAATCGTTTTTATACATTTCAAATTTTATCGTTTGATTTATTTTTTATATTCATTTAGAACTACAAACCATAATCCCACCATCAACCATTTACAGTCTTTAACATTCGTGTATGTATGGGTGAAGATTCTTAGTTTCATTGTTGTTTTTATTGATCATCGTACACACTTATGCTGAAAATAATAGTATATCACACTACAAGGGCAGAACGTTGAATTTCCTGCACTGCGCGTCATGCAGCCCGAGGCGAAGCCGAGGCGTCATGATGCGCTGTTCAGGATTTTCAACTATCTGTTCTTGTAGTGTATACTATTGTTCTTCATACCCAGACGAAAGTATGGACTGCTTGCAAGTGTGCATTGAAAGATATATTGATGCTTGCCCCATTTGCGACACGAGCAAAGCCAGTACTGCTGCCCGGGGGCAGGCATCAATCAAATACATTTACAAATGAAGGTAGAGATACACTCTTTTGGAAGACATAATTTAGATTTTGATTAATTTTATTAACGTTATCCGGCGCTTTCTGTTTAAATTGCATCACTTCATTCTATGTTAATACGAGATATTTTTTGGTCTTTTACTTGATTTCTAGATGGATCTAGCCTTCGACTTAACCCTTTGAATTATACAACTAAATTACTCTCCTCAGATTTTGAGAAGGTATTTTCATTTTCTTTTTTATATTTTTATAGATTTCGTACACAAGCATGTATCTGTTAGCAAATTTTTTTGGCAATGGGTCAATTTCTACGAATAATTGCGCTCCTGCTTCGAAATTTCGGTCAATCTCATTTTTGTCTGTTGTTTCAACTTTCATTATTAGTGCATGTTTCTATACTGCGCGGGCATACCTTTCACCCACTCTTTAACCTCTCATTCTCCAAAATATTACTCAATGTTGTGAATTAGGAGCAAGACTTTATTTATAACAAACATTTTCTAAGTAGATTAACAAAATCATTGTTCTCTTGGAAAAAGAGAGAGACCATTTACTTACTTAGCGACTATAAAATCAGGAGAAAAAAATCATTCTTTTTTGCTATTTGACATCGTTTCCTTCGTCAAATGGCATTGTTATTAATTTTTTTAGTTCCATTTTCCTCCATTTTCCACTACTACAATATCGCACAACAAAAAACCATGATATTATAACATTAGGAATAATTCCCTTTAAAAAAAAAACAATTTTTCTTTCGGTTACGTTTGCCAGGTAATCAGCAAAATAACATTTTTGCGACACTTTAAAGAAACTCAAATTGGTGAGAAGGAAAATTTTAGGATTCAATATAGCGGCCACATAGCGATAAATATTTGTTAATTAATATAAAAATAGCGAATTCAAAATTCTAATCACGCCGCGATAATATAAATCAAATTCAAATGAACTCATTGGGTCACAAAGCTTTTCCCCTACAGTCAAGTGATGGGAGGCAGTAGTGGGGATGGTGCGCTCATGACGTTCTCACGCCAACACAGTTTCGTGGGGCAATTAATTAATTAATAACTTTAATTTAATGTCCCAAACTGTAGAAATGTTTGGAATCGATTCCCTAAATCATTCTACATAATTTCCATTACAAAAAACAGAAAAAAATTTTTGCGCTAACTATACGCTGTAAGCTAAAGAAATTAATAACAAATTAATAAAATCGTCCTAAATTCTACAACCTGTGTCCTTAATTTCTCAAATTGATTTCCTAATTGTTCCATAGGTAAATTACTTATTTCCGATTATTGGTTACATATTTGTTATATATACGGCGATTATACCCGAGAGACATGGCGCAAGTCGGAATTTTGAATAATACGCAATCCATAAATGAAAAATCGGGGATTCAGCAAAGATGACAAAGTTTCTTCATGAGCATGAACAATATTGTAGAAAATGTGTTTATTACATCCCATGATCTGAATATAAAGGGAACAATAAAAATCTAACGTCACAAACTTGTTGAATGATATTCGCATAGATTATCTCTGCCTCAGTCAAAATTTATTAGATCCACAAAAATTCTGCAAATGGATTGAGCAGTCGTGATCGTATTTTTAATATAATGAAATCGTATTATTGGAATATTTAGCAATTCTTTGCCTATGCTCCTATTTAGTTCCGGCTAAATGCAAAAAGGTAATTAAATGATCAGTACGATAATAATCAAAAAATTGTTAAATATGAGATGTTTAACCACGGAGCTGTCGTAAATTTCTACTAAAGTATGTGAGTTTTGAAAATCATTCGGATTAAATGTAAAGACTTTATTTACAACAAACATATCAAGTGGATAACTCAAGAACGAAATATTGAATAAATACTGAAACCTACAAATGCCTCTTCTTTCCAGTTCGGGGATCGATCGTCGATCCGAATACTGGAAGAGTAGTAATTGGTTAGTGAGAATTGAAGATAACTGGAATACTAAGCGACAACGAACTTAATTATAGTTGAAACTACAGTTTCTGCTTTTTTTTCGCTTGGTATTTCTAAATTTACCAATTTTATTAGGGCAGACATGTAGCTTGACCAATACAGGCAAATTAGATTTTTTGCATAAAATCTCGGCAGAAAAGACGTACTTTCGACCGAGGTGTGAAGAAAAAATGTAAAATTTACGTTCAAATCTGCCGACAGGGATTCATGTTCTTCCTCGATTTTGTTAAATGTGAAGAGAACTGTCGAATCAAGACATAGTAATGCCGAAGGTAATGGAATAAAATGCAATAAAAGTTTCTGAAGGACATTTCAACACTGTACAATGTTGACATCTTGTGGGATTTTTTTATAATCATTCCTTAATGAAATAATTCGGGATAATTATTTTGGAATATATATTATTGCTACAACGCACCTCGAAGATTCAAGACAAACTATCCAGTAATTGTTTTCTGTGCAACATGTGAGTATCATAATTAATTGTATAAATTATAATTTACTTTTTTAGAATTTTATTTAAATTTTATGTGATAAACCACCATTGCGACTAATTTACAATTGGCTGAACATTGAATATAAGATCTCTTTAGAATTCTGTTATGATTTCACTGAAATTATCATTTTTGAATCATTCCATACAAACGATGACACCATTCGGACTTTTAAACATCTTTTGAATCTTCTATCTATAATTACTCGATTGTTCTAAGTCATAACAGAATACTATTTATTTATACATCTTACTTCATTAGTCTAGAAACAGTTTTACTGATTGGAGTGTGGCTGACGTCCTTTTAGAACTGCTTGGACACATTTTGCCATTGTTGGGGAGGCTCGGGATATTACGTCCGTTCTAAAGAACTGATCAAGAGATTTTTGTTTTATGTCTACTGGATCTTGGAGAAAGGAACCTCCAGTTTTCTGAAAAAAAATTGAATATTATCTCCACGTTATTAAGACCATTTTATTGCATCTTTAGTCAATATTGATGTCTTCTACATACCTTTGATAACTCTAATGCTTGAGTGAAAAAATTAGCTGATTCGATCTCACCATATCGGACTACATGAGGAGCAACCTCTTCAAGTCTCGACCGAACGTCAGCAATAGTATCATAAGGTAATTCAACTCCAGAGAACTGAAAATTTTTCAACGGAAAATTGTTGGGAATATTGAATATGTAACGCTTGACATTTCTTTTTTTCTCGACATTCGTAATTTTGATTGACCTAATTTTTCACCAAGTTAGCAAGCATATTTAACAATAATTTTATCATTCCGTTTCATTATTTTTATTTTTTGTTAAATAATGGAACAACTATTATCATAAATAGCTGGCTTTGTTGTTGAATAATTACCTCAGCAAGAGCTCGGATAATCTTCCAATCGGGTCGGGCCATTCCAGGAGGAGTAATAGCAGCACCCGTTTGTTGTGCACGACCCTCAGTGTTGACGTAACTTCCCGTTTTTTCTGTATAGGCGGCTCCAGCAAAGACTACATCGGCAGCTGTTGCTCCACGATCTCCGTGGCTTCCTGACAAGTGTAATTACAAATCCCCATTTTGATTAATTTTATACTTTCCACTTTGTTTTTATGTCTTTGAAAGAATGATCTGTAGGAAAAAGTTGGTAGAAAAAAGGAACATTTTCTTTAAAGAGAAATATATGAATACGATCATGTAGATGACTATATATATCTCTGACTTAAACTCGACGCATAAATACTTTAGTTAATACGTTTCAGGTCATTTACTGAAAATAACAATTTCGTAATATCGTAGAATAATGACTGCAGTGAACACGAGTTGATTAATTTTTGTTATTGATCATTTATGTCAACCCTCTTACCCTGAGAAACGAATTATTTTCTTAAATTATATCGACGGATATTGACTTTAATAGGTGAGATTTCTTGTTAAAAAATGTTGCATATTGTTACCTAAATCTACTCTTTTCAAGGCACGAATGAAATAATATTTTTGACATTTTTATAGTCACCTATGTAAATAATGAAAGAATGAGGAAATTCTTCTCTTGTAATAGGTGAGTCATCAGCACCAAGGAGGAATAATACTTTTGGCTGGAGACTCTTGACATCTTCTAAACTAGATCCATAGCCAATATCCAAGGCAGCAACTTGAGAAGCATTTGTATGGAGAATATTTAAGACTTTCCAATCAGCTGGAGGCTGCAATAATTATAATTATAATCATTACCATTATTATTATCACTATTATTATTATTATGTATTTATTTATTTATTTGAAAAAGATCACTAAACAGTGCTCGAGAGCTCCCACTTCACCTCGAAGGCCACTTAGTAAGCTAAGCGATTCAAAATAGTCTTAACCGCACTGCAGTAGTACTCCCTCCAACCAGAGGGCAAATTCTACTGCAGCCCAGAATCGTGCTGCCTAAGTAACCGCGGAGACCCAAGGAAGACAGCCTTCTGCATCTGCCCACCCAATATTACCGCATTTCGCCTACAGGCTAAAATGATCTCAAGCGCAGATACAAAAGACTCGCATACCGCCAAGAGAACCAATAATCAGGACAACTAGCCTGACCCTGAACTCTCGATTCAGCTAACGTAGCTCAAACAGACGAGGTTGATATTTGAGCAGCTTGTTCTCTTGTATTTGCTGATATATTGCTCGCAGCCGGGGCCGAGAACTCAATGATACAGATGGTTTTTTCTTCAAAGTTGAAGAGGACAATATCAGGCTTTATCCCAGCGAAAGTTCGAATAGTTGTGAACGAGAAGTTCCAGTAAATTTTACACTTCTCATTCACGACAACAGACTCAATATCTTCTGCAGCGTAAGGCAGCGTCGGTGTTCTGGCTCTCCCATAAGAATGCCATAGATGATAATAAAGCCCTCTTGAAGCCGCATTATGCCGATAGATGCATCAAGGTCTCAGAGCACTGTTCGCAAGCACGACACCTAACATCCCGAACTTGCAACCCCATAACACGACTTCGATAGACCAAGGTGTTAATCACCTGACATGCACAAACCATTTGACTTACTTTCGTAGTGTCTCCAAGGGTCTTTGCCAATTCTTGAGCTACTGACAACATCTTTGCACCATCTTTTCGTCTCAATTGTTCAATCCCCAGGATTATTAATGGTTTCTTCGCTTTTTTTAAAGTTGCAGTGAATGGATGTTGACCACTTTTGAGTTGATCCAGTACATTAGCTGACTGACCTAGATGCTAATGGATAAAAACACAGATTGTAGATTCAATTTATGAAATTATAAAATACCGGAGGCGTAGCATAACTATCGAATTTTTGAAGATTGAGGTTGGAAAACCACTTAAATCATGAAAACATTTCAGCCTAAAATGAACCTCTTCGACCTCTCACATGTTCATGCATTAATGTATCACCATTACAATGAAATAGATTTTTGTCTTGAGTGACGATTTTTTTTAAAAAGAAAATGAGATAACAAAAACAAGGGAATCAATGCACCAATTTTCGAACACGTATCCTTCCACGGATCATCTAAGAGGCCACTTATTAGTCATCTGAAAGGTTTTGACGAGAAAAAAATGGAATCCAATTTGTTACTTCGTGAGAAAGTTTGATTGTCCATTCGAAAATCGCCTAAGTAGGAATCAGGATATATTGGATAATAGGTAAACGCATCTAATGCAATCTAATGTAAGTACATCAACTAGATGCTCACTAATAGCGTTGCAGAATTTCAGGAGATATTAACGTAGGACCATTCAATAAAAAATGACAACAATAACAAAAGCTACTCTTTCAAAAGCTACTCTTTCTATAGGTATTTGCAAAATGCAACTCAATGTTTCAATACCTCATAATCATAAGTGAGATCGACTTTCGGTCCAATAAGTGCAATAGTCTGTTCCCCATGAAGATATCCCTTTCTCAACCTCGTGTTAACCAACGGAGCTTCATACCTTGGATTGGTTCCAATGAGTAAAACAATATCTGCCTCTTCTATATTCTGGATCCTATTATTTGTCAAGTAATTGCTTCTAAAATCAATACCAGATCCTTCCTTAGGAAAATTTTGTTCAGTCGCGAGAGTCTCTCCACCAAGTTTATTAAGGAGATCCTTCATAGCCATCAGCGCTTCCGCATCAGCCAATTTCCCAGCAATTACGGCACTCTTACCAGAAGGAACATCCTGAAGGCCACAAGCTGCAGCCATTAAAGCATCTTCCCACTCGACATTCTCGAGCTTGTTATTGACTCTCATCATAGGAGTGATTAGCCTTTGACGTTTTAGTCCATCATACGAGAATCTTGCTTTATCTGAGATCCATTCTTCATTTACTTCTTCATTAACTCTCGGAAGGATCCTCAACACTTCTCCAGTACGACTGGAAACCACAATGTTACTTCCCACAGCGTCAGAAATATCAATGCTATCGGTTCTACGAGTTTCCCAGGGTCTGGCAACAAATGCGTAAGGCTTGCTTGTCAAAGCTCCCACTGGGCACAAATCGATGATGTTTCCTGATAATTCTGACAAAAATAACTTCTCTACATAAGTTCCCACTTGCATGTCGTTACCACGTCCTGTAGTTCCTAGATCGTCGACCCCCGCCACTTCAGAAGCGAAGCGAATGCACCGCGTGCAATGGATGCAACGAGTCATCGTGGTTTTCACCAAGGGCCCAATATCTTTATCTTCGACCGCCCGCTTACCACTGAAGTCTATGTCTACGAAACGGCTTCGGTCATTTCCAAAAGCCATACTTTGGTCCTGCAGATCGCATTCGCCCCCCTGATCACAGATGGGACAGTCCAGGGGATGATTCACCAGCAGGAACTCCATGACCCCTTCACGAGCTCGTCGCGTGAGATCTGAGTTTGTTTTTACTCGCCAGCCTTTCATCACTGGCATTGCACAGGCTGCCACAGGCTGGGAGAGGAATTTTCGGCAAATAATTAGAAATGTATTAAAATTTAATATCATAGTTTCATAGTAATAGTGTGGAATAAATTTGCAAGTTAGCATCAATTCTCGGAGAAATTGTAATGATGATTGATTTTTGAAAAAGCCAACACACAAATTGCCTACCTTCATCTGTTTTTCGATCTCTACAAGACACATTCTGCAGTTTCCCGCGACAGCCAGCCGTTCATGATAACAAAATCTCGGTATTTCAATTCCAATTGTTGCCGCAGCCTGAAGGACCGTGGTTCCAGGTGGCACCTGCACTGGCTTATCATCGATGAAAAGCTCCACTAAATCCTGACCTGCATGGCACTTATTGGCTGAAGTTTGGATGCCACTTACGCCCAATCTACCGGTCGACAAACCGGCCGCCCGCAGTAGGGGTAGTCGCAACATCTTCTGCAATTCCAAGCCACAATTTATGAGCGACTCTAAATCGATTGTTTACCCATTCAACATTTTATTTATTTATTTTTTGTTATGTAACAAAGGCCAAGATGAAGGAGATGGAGTGAAGGGCTCTATAACCTCAATTTATGTGACACGAAAATAATTGTTGCGAGTCCGGGCATTTGCAACGCTACGAAACCTTTTCACAAAATCATTTAAAGAGGACAAATTTTTAAATGGTAGTGAATGAAAAGAATTATCATGCAATATTTGAGATTTACGTAAATTTAATTTGGAAACATAACTTTTCAGAACACCTCTCTCTTTCAATACAGATGTCGCGACTATTTATCCTATACCTCCTATACTCTTTAATCGCGCTACCCTCCTCAGCTGTACATATACTATGTTTATATATATATATAGCAAAATTGACGTTCACACAGCCATGTATATATTATTACCTGACGAGAAAAACATCGCACAAAATGTATACATAGTTGGAATTTGCCTATGGAAACACTAGCCGACGAATATTGGCTCAAAATATTAAGAAAAATGATTAAGTTCATAATTTAATTCTAACATGGTATAAAAATTCCTCGGTTTAACATTATACATGAAAATATGTTTGCATAAACCTGTGAATTTGTCGAAAAGTGCTCAATTCAATGTGATTAGTTCAGAAAGATCAGAAACAATTGGCTTATCAAATGGAGTACCACATTGATGACTTGCCCGATGAACTTTTGGAGTACATTCTCAATTTGATTCCGCCATACAGATGCTTGAAGGAATGCATGGTTGTCTGTAAACGGTGGTCCTTGGCAGTAAAACGTAATTATTTCGTCTATACATTTTTCACTGAATACTTCATAAGATCTTTATGGCCTCAGATGTGATCTTGAAGAAAAAACTATGACATTCAATATTTGGTATTACAACATTATTTAACATTATTTTAATGAGGAAGTGCTAAGATAAAAACTCAGTGATTCATTTCCAAGTAGAAGTATGGTAATCATTCCATTTTTTTTACCATTTATTGTTATTAAAATTCCGTTAGTTTGTGGGTATTTTCAGAATTTAATTTTCTGTTAAACTTCAGTTGAATCAATCCCACCGTTTTTGAATAATTTCTCGGAAAAGTTTGAAACGATATTTAATCTGATCCGGTTTTTCCTTTAAAATATTGGTCTCCATGGTTTTTCTTTCAATCAAGCTAAATATGCCTGTTTTGCCCAAACTAATAAAGTGTTGAGAACCTCCAATTTTTTGGGTTTTAATTCACACTGTATACTACCACTGCCATTCAAATTTGATATACAAAGTTCTCTTCTTGCACCAAAATATTTCGTATTCAAGTCTTTTTTCTTCACTTTCTAAATAACCGATCTCCATATGTTTCATTCCAAATCTTCATCTCAGTTTTCTATCTCACAGCATCAAAGTATGTACGTCCTTTTCTCAAAATTTTTGACATATTTCTATTTTTCAGCTTTTCATTTAAAAACCTTATGAGTATGCTTCGCATTACTAATTCATGCATTCTCTTAATTTTTAATAATGAATTATGGAAAAACAATAGTTTAAATTACTGAATAAAAAAATATTTAAAGGCTAATTTTTCTCCAAGTTAACCGCGGGCTTAAAGTTAAGTCAAGACCCCCCACCGCTGAAGAAAATCGTCCAATTTGGAAAATGGATAAAAAAGAGACTCGCAGTTCCCGGCATTTTTTATTTTGATAAGAAAAATCATAAATAGTCCTTCCAGTTTTTTTTAGTTTTTCGTAACATGTTTTTTTGTAACACTATTATGGAATCATTAGTTGTGATGGAGAAAAAATCATTAACTACAATCGTACTCTTTGTTTATATTGCAGCCTGAAGTACTTTCAGCACAATGGAAAATAGAAATAAAATTTCAAAGCTTTATCAATGAAAATTTTGGAGAACACTCCATGGTCGATAACATAAACGTTATACTAACTTGGTGGACAACAACTGCTATTTGATCTGATCATTATTTCTCTTTTCTAATAAAGCGTCTATAGGCAGAGTTCTGAAATTTTATTTATGGTTTTGTTGATTTTTTAGAGAGTATTCCAAGTTTAGTTATCACTTTATTGCTGATTTCCCCAATGCATTTAAGAAAATCTGCTGTAATCGTTGACCAACCTAAATGACTCATCTCGTTTTACAGGTGTTATGGAACATAAACAGTCCTATTTTCATAGATCAGTGGCATTCGGCTCCCTGGAATGGAACACCATCATCTCAGAGCCAGGACCTCCAACAGTAATTAGTGAACGTTTCTCTCATTCAGCCTGCACTTATGAAAACTCAATGTACGTGTTTGGCGGATGTACGAAGACATGTACTACGTTTAACGATCTTTGGATGTTGGATTTAGATACTAGAAAATGGGATCGTCCCTTAGCCAGGGGCAATTACCCTTCACCAAAAGCGTGTGCCTCAATGGTGTATTATAATCATACTTTCATTCTCTTTGGGGGATGGTCACATCCTTCAGCCTATCCGCCGTATCAAAGACGTAGATTATTTGATGAACTCCATGTTTATTGTCTGAAAACCAATAGATGGTCAGTAATTGACACATTGGATGGGCCTCCTCCAACGTCTGCTCACTCCGCTTCAATCCATGGAAATCTGATGGTCATATTTGGAGGTATCAGCAATGACTATAATAGCTCGAATGACATTTGGTGTCTCAATGTGGATCATTACTATTGGTATAAGCCAGTTGTATCCGATCTAAAACCCCCATCAAGATATGGGCACTCTCAAATTCATTTAACGGATAAACATATTTTGATTTTTGGAGGTTGCACAGGTCCCAGTGCAGTAATGAACGACGTTTGGTTGTTAACAATGGAGGACCCTATCTGGACTTGGACTCGAGTGAACATGCTAGGAGCAAACTGGGCACCCACCAAAATCTGGTGCCATCAAGTTTGTAAAGTTGGAAATTATGTAGTGGTTTTGAGTGATAATAAAGAGTCAACCAAGCAAGGTGAAGTAGTGCCCAAGGAAGTAAATAGATCTCAGCTGTTACCGCCTCCCAGAAGACGTCAGGCTGTTGAAGAGAAGATAGACAAAGATGAGAATGTCAATGGAAGGCATGGTAAACTGATGGGACGAAGAATACATGTGAGAAGTGCTTCACCTAATGGTTCAATTTATTCTGGCGCTCAACCCCTTGAGTTGAAGTCATTCGCTCCTATTGCTGTGCCTGATATTGAAGAAAAACGTCGTCAAGCCAATCGGGTTAGGCAATTAGAGTCGCTGAGACGAATGCAAGAGAGAATTCAAAATCAGAGGACTCAGCAGAGGCTTGTTAGAAAAAAATCTGACAAGTTGGGAATTTTTGTGCTTGACATTACAAGAATTTTGGATCAGTCTTCTGCGACATGGATTTTTCATAGTCAAAATAAGTGTAGTGGTCCTGAGGGACGGATTTTATATTCGTTAGTCCTTGGAAAGAGCGAATTGATTGTTTTTGGAGGAATTCGAAAGGTTATTACCACGATACAGGGAGAGACTGATGAGGATATTTCTGAAGTATACAACGATGTTCATTTTATTAAGCCACCGCGATATATTTTCTAAGCACTATATCCATTATGAAAACTTTATGTAAATTCGATATCAGGAAATTCTCCATGATGGATGAATAAATTCTCGATTATACATATATTTTTACTTCAATAATGAATTTATTAAAAACACTGGCTTTATATACATTTCAGAGCAAATTCATAGTAAATATTTGTCTTGTAAGCAACCATATCACAACTTTGTTTTTATAGAGTAGGAATTAAATTCTGAAAAAAATCTCAAAAATTTAACGGGATTTCCGAAAAAATAGATGTCATTGATTTGGGTCGAATATACAGTGTACATACTATACACGACATTGTCCAAGTAAAATTACTTAATCTTTTACTATTTTAATCCAAGGTCACTAGATGATACAAGGCTAATTTTGATTTAGGGTAGGCTTGTCAATTGAGTTGACAAGATATATCAGCTATTTTGAACTGACTAACGCCTTCCGCGGGCTAGAATTTAATTTTTATCAATTGGAAATGTTAACTCGAAAATAATTTTCATTCAATATGTTATTCGGCCCGCCTTGAGCTCGTATGTTTATTGCCCTGGGGAGTAAGTCACCGCTCATCGCTTTTCTTTTTACTTATTTATTACTTACTTATTACCTTCTTGGGGCAATAAAAATACTCGATTAATCAGGCATCGTTACATACACTAACATATGCCACACGGTTGTAGAGAGTAGTTTATAGTGAATATTGTCAGAGGAGTAACCTCGGCCGTAACCCCCACTCTCTGAAATCCCCACTTGTGGCCGTGTTCCCCACCAGTCGCGCCGAACAAAACCGAAGTTACTTCTTTGGTAATATTCAGTATAGCAACATATTCGATCAGAATCCGCGCCTGCGCCTTTGACTTCACCTCGCTCGGTAGAACAGAGATTATAGGAGAGATCAGCAGCGCTTATGGTAAAGGTTCAATAGCGAAGTACGTAGCGGCGGCTACGAAACTAAATCAGAAGCCGTATCCAGGAATAGAGCAGGGCACGAGGTCGAGAATGTCGATAACGGTGTGAGAGGTAAAGATAGAGTGGTGAGAATCGGGGAGATCGGGGCAGAGATTATAGGGGAGATTCCTAACGCCAATGGCGAGGCTTCAACCGCGAAATTGTCTGGCCGCCCTAGCCGAACTAATTTTGCGGGTATATTCGGAATATCGACACTCTCGGGCTCGTGCTCTGCTTTATCTATACCCACGCCCTCCGAAAATTACCGACACTCTTGCCCTCGCGACCTGTTTGATTCACAGGTACACCCGCAAAATTAGTTCCGCCAGTTCCGCTAGGAAAGTTCGCGGTTGAAGCTTCGCCATTGGCGTTAGCAATCTCCCCTATAATCTCTGCTTATAATCTCTGGTAAAAGCGCTCTCTGTTGAATAAAAACGCACCCTTATATTGCCAACTTGAAAGGAACTAATATGACAATTGACAACAAAACGTGGAGAACCATTGATTCTTCTCATCTTTTTTAAACAATACGAATTCTCTGTCATCAATTCAATCACTAATGTGACAATGTCATTATTGAATGCTCAGCAGTTTTTGGGAAGCATTTACTCACATTGTCGCGATGTTCACCTTCCATATGTTAATTTATCAAAAACACAGAAGGTAATCAATCAAGGGCATTTGCAATAGGTTAGATTTCATTTATTTACTCTTGTGTTCTATAAAGTTTGGCAAGGAGTTTATTATAATTGTTATGTCGTTATTATTATTGTTGTTAGATTTTCATTATATGCTTGACCAGTGGAACATTACTACTAGGCGGTTTAGCCAAGTATTTAAAGAGAAGAAGACGGCCATCTCATCCCATTCATCGTCGGCCCACAAGAGACCTCAGGCAACGATTATTAAGTTCCAAACCTGCGAATTTTGGTGAGCATATGTTGTAAATGAACTGTAAAATTTTATGAATGGTATATATGAAAACGGATTTCAGACATTGTTTCTCAAGTGTCTTGGGCCAAGAGAAGTGAGGCAAGTACTCGGAGTCATATTAGTGATAGAGCTTCTCTGGTTTCTTCAATTCCTGGAGGACCTGATGGTGATGTGAGGCTCACTCCCCAGCAGTACGGCGTCTTAGGTAAGTTTTTCAATTCACTGACTTTTGGCTAGAGTTTTGAAATTAATTACGGAGCAAGATAGTGAACAGGAAAAAGTGAAATCCAACATTTTTGTCGTCTTCTTTCTCTATTCTAAAAATGACTGGGTCGCTAATAAGCGAATATGTCAAAAGATATGATTTGGAGCTGTAATTTTTATCAAGTTGCATATGTTAAGTTTCATTCTTTTACAATAGTAAAATAAGCCTTTAATTAACTAATACAAGACCGAATGGGCGCTCCGCGGGCGGCATTTGATTCCGTTGTGTTGATGATGACATATCTAATTAATCAATGAGGATTACGGTTACGCGTGAGAAGTTTTACGCATGAAGTTAGCCGAAATCTTACTCTCGACAATTTAATTTTGCTGCATCACTTTTTATAGACAGGATTTTTAAATTTACGATCTGGTTTGTGCGTTAGATTCAATGGCAAAGCTGAACTGATTTCTAACTTTGTAATCTGAAAATATCATAAGTTTTCCTTAATTTAGACTCAAACCAATTCAATAATAATAATCGGAAATTTTCTTATTGTGTTTTGCTGCAATTAAGAGGAATTTCACAATAAATTCCAGCTTTCAAAACTTTTTCTCTTGTTACTATACGACAAAACTAGGCGTCACTAGTCGAACTCAAATAGGAAGAATGGTAAAACTATAATATCCGCCTAATGTGAGTGACAGTTTTGCATATTAGCTTCGTGCACAATTCATGCCGATCATTGATATTTAGAAGAAAATAAGCAATTATCCCATGATTTTTGAACAACGAGATTTTTTAACAGAGTATCGGTGGTATAGGCTGAATTATTTCTCCAGTTATCGACAGTTTTGGCTTAGAATCAGCTGTGAGATATTGCTGAAAATTTTTCAAAGTACCAAGTTCAACGTATTTTACATGAAAATGAAATATGAATTTTTATTTTTTTTTAATGAGAAATTGAAAACTAATGGAGATTAAGTAAAAAAATTATTATTAAATAAAAAACACAACGGCTCAAGCGGATGAGGATCTGTCAGATGAAACAGCTCGATGGATTAGTTTATGACATGCTAAGTGGACTAGTTTGCGACAGGTTCACATTTGACTTGGAAGTGTGTCGTAAATTGGAATTCATAAAAGGAATTAGTCTAATTAGTTCACAAATAAAGTAATGATTTTATTGTTCAGTAATGAGTTCTTGTTTAATTACTTTTGGGACTTGAGGCTTTCGATGTTTCTGCTTTCTCTTTCTTCAAGTCTTGATTTTTCAAGCTCTGTTCTTCCCGTGTAACAAATTTTGGAAAATTCGAACAGCACGTTCAGGATGATATCTCATAAAGACTTCATACCGACGCCTTCCAGGGCGATTGTTGATGAATTTGGTGTCCTCTTTCATTTTCTCACATTTCACTCACATAGGGAACTAATCTCGCCAAGTGATTTTCCCCCTCTGCTCCTAATCCTGAGCCTGAGTCCTGCAAATAGTCGGTTTGAGGACTCCTTTTTTTTATAAGAAAGGGTCATCATCGGGATATTATACTGTTTCGAAAGCGAATTGATTGAACATTTTGATTTCACTTTTTCCAGTACCTCTTACAACTGGAACACTTCGTATAGCTCTCTTCTTCAGCACTTGTACTTTAATAAAATCTAAAATCGAGAAAAAATTTATGTAAAATAAATAAAAAGTTATGATTTTCTTTTTTAACTAAAAGAAAACAATTTTCATGTTTATTAAAAAAAAAAAGATTTCATTGGTACAGACAATACATAAGACAATTAGGTTAGAAAGGTGTCAGAATTAACTGTCACAAATGAATGGATGAATGGACTGGAGTCGTTACGCTATTTCATGAAAATCTCACTCATGGTCCATACTATTCATAAAAAACAATTCTTTTGGAGTGACAACTATTATAAGACATTTTGTTTCTATTAATAAACGGTTAGAAATTAGGGCACTGTCAATAACTAGTCCCATTACAATATATATCGCGAATCTTGCAGAACGAGAAATCATAGCCTTCCATAGGATTTTAACCTGATACAATTATTAAAGATAGATCAAATAATATCGTTCATCTTCATACTAATGAAAAAGCGGTGGCTGTCTAATTTTAAGGACGTACTACGGCCTTTTCCTCCAAAAGATATAACATTTTTGCGTTTGGTCGTTATTTAATGATTCACGAAGTTTGACGGTGCTGTGACAATTTTCCTGCGTGTTTTCTAAACTTAAACAAAAAGTCACAAAATTGTATAGAAAACGTATGAAAATGATCGCGCCATCGTGAAACTTCGTGGGCGATTAAATAATGGCAAAACGCAAAAACCCTATATTTTTTCACGTCGATTTTATTAATAATTTGCCAGAAAAATTTAAAAAACCTAATAAAATAATTTTATCTGAAAGGGTGTCGAACATCTTTAAATCTCAAATTTCACAAATGCCCATTTAAATAGAAGAGCTGATCTGCCGAATATGTACCGCTCGTGGCTTGAAAATGAATCAGGTATTTGTGTTTAGTTACCCTAGATAGTAATGCAGCTTTTGGGAAATACCTTATAATATCCGGGTAGGAAATTATAACTAATTGTGCTCTCCATTTGAATAATAGGTCAGGTTGGGCATTTTCATGATAATTTCAGTTAATTTTGCTTCTGTTCGCCTTCAGCGAACAAATTAGTTTTCTATTATGCCAGTGCCGTAGGCCTCGACAAGTCTTGCAATATATTTAAAATCAAAATTATGATTTTCCAAACTTTCTATTCAAATTATATCCAATGAGACAAAAAAAAACAAAACAGCTAATAAGATGAAACTATAATCACATAACGACTATGTCATCAAAGCCTCGAGCTCTACGCTTGAAAAAGCCGGTATGAAAGAGCTTATTTCTAAAAAAGGTAGATAGTAGTATCTTTCTTCGAAGATGAATTGCGAATTTTCTAAAGAAGGCATAGAGAATACACGTTGAAATATTTGTTAATTTTCCATTAAAACGTTCGAATAAATCCTGCTTCACTCTATAAAATCCCTATCTCTTGCAAAAGCATGTATTTTCAAGCAAGATTGATTGATTTTACCATAATTTTTACTAATGAATTTATTTTGACTCTTTTGCTCTTATATTTTTATTATGCGATTCAATTTATGGAACAAAACCATGCAAAAAAACATTCAATTCAACTAAAGTGTCAGCGGTAAGAATGCTAAAACAGTAGAATACATAATCAATTGAATAGAGTATGAGAAATAAACATAATTGCGAAGATTCAATCCATCTTCAATATTTCACAAGCGCTGATAGTATCTCGGCAAAAAACTTATAGTTAAATTGTTATAAATATTACACATCTTCTTTGTATTCCAATTCCAAAAATATAACATAGCTGCACTCTCCCCCAAATTACAACTACATTCATTTTCCTGAATGTCATTCTCATATTCATTTATTTGCTCGATAAATTCCAAGAAAATATTATCTCGACATACAGTCATATGATTTATCGTGTGGTCCACCAAATTCGTCGATAAATGGTATCAGTGTCTACATGAAATTAGGAGAGTATTGGTGGATTATATCGATCTAATCGCTGTAGCAAACCCCGTTTTTCTTGAATCTTAACTACCGATTTATTCATTCGTATTAAGGGTTACTTCCATCAGAGTTTAATTTAACAAGTGTATGGAACATGAGACCTATAATTTGCCTCGTATTTCTTTAACATTGTACTTGACGTTCAGTTAGACTAGTTGAGAAATATATCGTTCCTTAAAGTGCTATGTAACGTGAGTGTGCTCTTGTCAATTTTTAAACTAAAATGCTTCGAAACTTGACAATAGCTGCCTCATCTCAGAAAGGCAAGCATATTTATTGTAGTAGTTAGTGACGTGTATATTCTGACGTTCATATTTTGCTATGATTATTAGGAAATGATAACATCTTTATTAGCCACATAGAGGTCGCTCAGCTCAGTGAGAGATATCTCACAATAGATTTGAAATATTTTTTTTGGTCATATTATACTTGCTCATTCCTTTCCAACAAAAATGAGAAACAACGCGTCTAAAAGGGAAATACTCGAGGAAACAATATTGAAAGAACTGTGCAAGTAACCTATATAATCTTTTTTAATAAATATTTCATTGGATGAGGAATGTAGTGATATCTTAATCGGAGTGTTTACATGGAATTTCATTTCCTATAATTTCTGATTGATAATAGCTTCACGTAATCCTGTAAAGAGTCACCAGGATTAGTGCTATGGAAATGTAAAGAGAAGGTAACGAACTGGTGGCCGCGCCTAATGCATCCTTATTCTTTAAAGATTGCGGCCCCCCGTCATCGCTCTGCATATTTGAATCATGTCTCGGTGGGATAATGCTATTACCATCTTCACTGCTGTCCATAACGTTGTTGATATCATTTTGTTTATTCGTGGAGGTCGACGAAATGAGTAAGGTGCCAGAAATGGAATTTGTACTTGAACTGGAAAAAGTAGTGGCTCCGCGCGTTGTGGGAGGTTTTACCGTCGTGGGAACAATACTCGAATTGCTGAGAAAATAAATAGGTCCAAATTCTGACCGCAAATCTGTGATTGTTTCCTCCCTACGCATTCCACTGATCTCTCTAGACTTGCTCTCACCGTCTTCATAGTGTGACACCAATTGCCCAGTGTATGGCACCTCATACTCTGTATAATTGGCTTTAACCTTCACATTCACTCCAGTCCCAGGCTCCAAATAAATCTCCAGTCTGTTATTAAGCAATTATTGACCGTTAGAATTGGTGAGAAAAAATTAAAAATTTGATAAATTACCAGTGATGCAGATTCATATTATTCACTCACGAATAGCTATCCATACGCTCGGATCTCTCTTCCATTCCCCATTTAATAGTGGGTAACTTGGTCCTATTAAACAACGTAATAGAAGTGTTGAGTGCCTTAATCATAGCATGGCCTTGTCCCCAGTAACTGGAATATTTGTAGCCATATGCAGATTTCTCAACCAGCTTGGCCCCTTCAGTCCCCGAATTACTAATTGTAGCTTGTCCGATTATTTTCGATTCACTTTTAATTATACGAGTACGCCAGTGATTTAACTTAACGGAAGTTAATTCATAGTAAATTGGCTCTGTTTCGACTAATAACTCCCCAGCGTTTGTAGATCCTTGTTGACCATCCTATGAATGAAAATAAAATTTTAACGTGAATTTGAAAAGGACATTGCACGTTAAATTCAAGCGTGTGGCAGCAAATAGTAACGAATTGACAGCAAAACTGACGCTCTTGACGTAGGCTATTGTTCCTAGTTTCTCGTCGTGATTCAGTGTGCCGATGTAGTGGGTGTAGGTAGGTGTTAGGGTATCCTTGTCAGTCTCGTTCCGGGTAACAGGGTAGCGTGCCACGTACATGGTTTCGGTAACAACAGCACCCGTCGGAATTGGATAAAATTTACTCCAACTGACCCAGCTCAGTCGAGCAGCGTTATCGACATTCTCTAGTAATTCATAATTCTCGACAGCTTGTACAATCCCTAGAACGGTAACGGTGCATTTCTTCTCTCCTTTTAACTGTGCACCAGCCACCCACACACCACTTTGAGCTGCACGACAAACGTACATCTCTCGCTGTTCTGATGGACCCTCATTGTAGTTTTCGTCTAAATTCCATCATTAATGAAAATTATGTGAACATTCATAGTAATTTAGTCATCTATCTCGACATACCTGTTGATTTGGAAATTTGGAATCCACCGATGACAAGGGTATTGTTCTTGGAAGAATCATAATGACTTATCGGTAGCCAGTTTAATATGCTGGACGTCACGGGCAGACGATAAGTTGAGAATATGTGAACACTATTGTCCGATTTTGATTCTGGTATGGCTGCCAACACAGATAATAACGTCAACGAGACATAATTAATCCATGAACACTTCTTCCAATCCATCTGCAATAATCGAAAATTTTACCTTGTTAAATATAATGACTCAGATGTCACTCTGTAACATTTTGACAAAAAAAAACTATTGGGAAGGAAGTACACTCTCAATTCCATTCCATGCAAATCGCACTCAATTATGCAAATTTAAATAAACCTGTCTAAATTATTAGTGATTAGTGCTGTAGAATGGAAAGTTTGATCGGCTGATTTTTTTCTGCTACAGCTGGCAAATGTATCATATTGATTGCCTTGCAAATAAAAATAATAAAGGACGCCGACAGAGATAGTGTAAGTGACCAAGTATGAAATGATTTGATTTCTTAAACATAAACAGCAAAAGAGGAAGATTGATAGAATGTGATTTTATAAAAGAGCTTTTCTCATGCAAAGCTCGCGAAAAAAAAATTGATTATCGCGTCATGTTCTTCAAATGCCACTTTTACGAAACGGAAACCGGACGTGGAATACGAGTTTTATTGTTTCGCCTCACGAATCTGCCCTCGGGCCATTCACGGTATTGCGCTCGTCACCATGTACTGTGGTGCGTTAGCGGTACTATTTTTCTACCAGCGCGTTCACGTGCGCACCCCAAATGATAATAAATTATAATAATTGATGATAAACTCATTCGTGTTATAGTCTTATACTATACAAGTAAAAATAGAGGATTGATGATGTTAAGAAAATCTTGACGGAGTATCTGCTGGTACTGGAACATGAACCATATACAAGTATTTCCGCACTCAAACAATACATTTTCTTCGGTAACTATTGAACTTAATACATAGTCATCTTTGAAATTGTTAATTCCCATGGATTGAATTTCGATGAAATTTGACGATAATTCACTGAAAATATCTTAATTTTGTGCACTACATAAAAAAAATTGAGAGTATAAAATCGTTTCATCCGCATTTCTGTGGTCGATCCTTAAGATAAAAATCGATCATTGAGCAATAATCGAGTATTGAACGAGAAGCGATTAATTGAAGTCGAAAAGAAATGAAAAATCCCTTGTTCTTTTAATGTAGGGGATAAATAAATAATCTAAAAACAAATTGAGGAATGAGGGCTGTGTGGAGGTTTATTGACACATCTCATGAGAAGGCATGAACACAAAAATTAAGTGTTTTTAGCTCGAAAAAACTTTGATAGCTGCTTTAGAATCGGAAGGCTAACTAACTAATTTAGTTCAATAATACTTGACAAATTGGAGCCAACAATTCTCACGATCCTTTCAAGCTTACCGAATATCGATATTGCCAATGGAAGGAAATGAAAATTAGGAACGAAAATATAGACTAGGATAGAACCGCAATGTTTGTGGATACACAATTTGCCAAGGAAGGGAAATATTGTCGTTTAAAGTACCTACGACTGAGTAACATAGTACATATACTGCAGCCAAAAGCCATATCGATTTTCTACTGGGCCCCCAACGGGACTGGAATCGTCCAACGTTGCCATGATAACCCAACGAACCCCACTTGAAAATTATCCTCACACCTAAGACTTTTGCCCAAATCCCAATGCATTCACTTTGGTTGAAAATTTACTACTCCGATGGTCGTTGAACTGTTTTCTCTATATACTTGTCAATGAACGTTTAGGGAAAAGGGCATAGGGTCCTAGTTTAAGTGACTTCAAAATTTGAGTAAAAAATTGTACAATTTGGATGACAAACACTCATTATTTCCGATTTCAATCTCGAATACCCCATTATTTCTATCGAGAAAAAATTAACTCAGGTTAATGAGGAGGTGCTTTAGCACTCTCATCATGACCTTTCGTGATTCAGATTATCTCTAGCATTTTGTGTTGAATTAATAGAAACATTTTTAGACGATTTATTATAATGATTGAATTGTTAATTTATGTTTGGATGAACTGGATGGACTGATTATCTTGACAAATTGAGAACCACGCCGGGAAAAAAATAAATGGTCATTCAGTGGATATTGCTCCAAACATTAGCGTGCTCCGCAGTACAGGTGGAATGAAATAGGGGTCATTAAAATATTCGGATGTGGCAGTCCACTTTTGACGTTCCACATTGAAATTTGTTAACGAACCGTCTTTGGATCCACGTTAGCATTTTAGTTTCAGTAAATATTCAGTAAATCCCATCTAGTCATTGGAAAAATAGCCCCTTAATCTTTCCTTGGGTGATAATTTGAAATGAGGATCGCAGAATGAATCCATATATCGGAATAAATTGATTAATTAAAAAGAAAAAAATCTGATTTAAAATTGGAAATGAAGGTTAAAATGGAATTTTCGCATGTGCAATGAGTTGATTTGACCCGTCTCCTGTAATTGACATTGACTACAATGAGTTAACGAGCCCAGTTCTGAGCATGGGTCACATACTCTAGTGAACTCCGTATAAAGTGTATGTGAGGTGGTCTGATGTCAATGTACATGATTATCAGAGGCGCGTAGATACATACGTAGGCGTTTTACTGTACAGACGAGAAATATGGAATATATACTGTATACTAATATACTAACTAGGATACTCAAATTCTGTGTCACACTCATTAGTCTCATTGGGCTCGATCAATTTATCCTCGTCACGCAATTTCCTTTACTGCGTGGGTCTAGTTACACTTTTTCATCAGTCGGATCGAATGGACTTCCGTTTTTATACTTTTAATATGATAGCCCAAAGCTTTTGAATTTTTGTAACGACTGTGAGTATAATGGAGTGAAATGATACAGAACGTCAAAACATATTCCATTGGTTTTAGTAATTTTTCTCGAAAGAGAATAGGCATGTGCCTCCTCAGGGAATTAATATCAACCAAAAGTATTTGACTACACATGGCTACATACTCGCACGAATCAAATCCAAGGCCAATCCCTAACAGTTACAACGATGGACAGTTTTTACAGTGGTTCCCCTTCATTTTTGATATTTTTCTCTTTTCCTTATTTTTAAGTTTTTAATCAACGTTAGATTCCTTTACTCTTTCGGAACTTTGCGCGCTGACCCGTTTTCTGTTGATGTAATTCAGCTAAAGTTGAATTCCGCAACGCCACTACATTGTCTTTCTTCCTTTCTTCCGGCCGTGATTTTTTCTTGTTTTCAGATCTACGACTTGAATTGAACGAGGGAAATTCGATCCACTAGTTCATATAGTGACAATTTAATTCGACGTGTGTGTCTGGCCTGTCATTTAGTGAACAATCGAAAATGCGAGAAAATGCGAATAATGTTAGATGCGACATTGATAATAGACACAAAGAGAAATGGAAAAATAGGGCGTTTGAAAATTAATTTATGTTCATTTTAAGGTATTGTTAAGGGTGTCCTACATCCATCTATAGACAAAATCAACGTTCTTTCATACTTCCGGCGAAATTACGATAGGATTGACGTAAAAAAAAATATAACGTTTTTAGGTTTTGTCATTATTTAATGAGTCACGAAGTTTCAAGGGGGTGGGAACATATTGCTGCATTTTTTCCAAAACTTTTGAAAGTAATTACAAAACTGTAGAGACAATGAATGGAAATGACCGCACCAACACAAAACTTCGTGAGCCATTAAATAATGACAAAACGCAAAAACGTTATGTTTTTTTATATTAATTTCATCGATAATTTGCCAAAAAATATTTAAAAACGTCAATTTTGGCTATATATGGGTGTGGAACATCCTTAAGGTGCCTATCAGGAACCATACGACTTTTAAACGCCCCAAAACTATTCATTCAAGATCAAGATGGCAATCCTATAAACTAAAAATGATGTGGACACAAAATGCCAAACCAATAATACTATTAGTGTTATTTCGGGTGAATTTCGCTTGTGATGAACACACAATGAAACATCGCCATTAATTTTTTTTCCGCTTTCTTTTCAACCCCTTTAATTTCTTCCAATTGGCTTAATCACTGAGTCTTGAAATTCTTGAGTGTGTAAATGGGCACCCATTTGAGATTGCCTGCATTGCTGCGTCACTGGGAAATTTCGGTTATAGACGTTCTGAATAGATTCCACCGGGAAAATTTCACTTGAACTGCCGTTTTCTGCCGGTTTCATAAGAACAGCCGTATTGATTGATTTATTATTTTCGATGATAATATAGTAGATTTATTATTACAGCAAAATATGGTCATACTCACGATTTAATTGCTTCTATAAAGAGACTCAAATTTAGGCGGAAATATCCATGTAACACTGAACCACTAAATGCAATGTTGGCCTAAATCTTATGAAAAATATAACAGAAAACTCACAGTAGAAGAGACACACAAAACGGTTTTTCGGTAGTGAGCGGCGCAGTATCTAAGATACGACCGCTGAATAAGCCGAGCGAGAAACGACTGACGAGGCAGAAGCCTCTATATAAACTCCTCTCTCTCTCTCCTGCTCTCTCTCCGCCTGTTATGTTGGCGTATTGAAGAGTCCTGCCAGGGTCTTCCCGGATTTGACCGTTATCTTCCCTTTCTTCCTTCAAACCAAAGTTCTTTCCTCTTTTCTTCTATGAAAATCAGGGAGTTCGAGCGCTTAATGCAACTCAATGACGCACCAACACTTATCGAAATTTTACCCCTTTTTTTTATAATCTACTACAAATACTAGAGCAACAATCGGTACGGTATAGCAAATAGAAAAAGGAAAGAATTTATCATTTATTCTCCATGTTTATGATAAGTTATATCCTCTGGTACTGACCACCAAATCAGACGCTTACCACGCGTATTTTACACGTATTTAACGGATATTTTACGTTTCATTTTTGCATGGCGGTTTACCGCGCGACAGGGCCTGCGCATAGGTCCATTCTGTTCTACTACCACACACTTGGTGCAATATTGAACCCCTCTTACGTTGTCCCATTGGATGACACATCCTCCAATACGAACTTTTTATAGGCATTACGTCACTTAGGAGTGTTATTGACGCCTGGCCACCGGAGTCTAGGTGGTAGACTCTGAGGAGCCGAACATATACATGTACATTAGGAGTCCTTTCTTCTCCCAATTTCTTTCTTCTAAAGAAACTCAGTTTTTCATTGTGAAAATTCTTGTGGATTTCATTTGTCACTGGGAACAGTAATAAAAGAGAAATTGGGATGAAATGGGGGGATTAAGCTGGGCAAATACTTGAAATAATATTCTTTCTTTCAATTACCCTATTTCGCAGGCCTCGAGGCACTAGAAAAAGCTCTCTATTGCTGGGAAGATGCGCTAACGGCATTCAGCTGTAACTGCGGGAGTAATGCACTTGCATTACCGTCCAAAGCGGATGCAGCCTTCACCCACGATGTACAACAATTGCTTGACCTTGGTTATCAAATTCAAAGTACGGCTGAGTTGCTGTTCATCGACCAGGTGGATTGGCATTGATCATTCATGATTTTTTACTATTTTGTTTTTTCTAATGTTGGAAATGATAAGTGGAAGAATAGAATATATAGGTCTACCCTTGGGTTTATTGAGATTTCTTTGAAATTGTGAGAGGATAAATGCTTGTTGTTTTGCTTTGTAGCACTCAGTATTATTTTGCAATGATAGTGACGAAAGTGATACAAGTCACAAGTGCGCCTCAACAGCACGATCTGGAGAAAAGGATAAAGAAAAAGTGGATGCTGCATCGTCTCCTGAATCTTTTGCATCAGCCAAAGATGGGGTAATGGTTTTTTTAAATATTAAGTTAATACAGTATCTTTTTGAAGTAAAAGTGCATGAAGTAGGGGGGTATCGACTAGTGGTGTGATCCTTTTCGCGAAAGACGCTTATCTCCTTTATGCACTTGTAACGGACACAAATTTGACAAAACATACATGAAAACGGTTTCAAATTGAAAGTGTTTTTTTTTTTTTGAGAATAGGAATCTCACATTAAACCCTCCACTTTTCTCAGAAATCCATTCGTCTTTGTCCTCCTTTGCCTTCAAACCGACGTTACTTTGGTAGCGGTTTTCGAATACCTACACAAGATAAATGTACCAATAATCTTTTACAATGATCAATTATATGCAGCCTAAGTGGCCGTTGTGAACATTGTGAGACAAACTATACATGTCAATAATATAGCCAAAGGAAGACGAGTCGTAGACCGATGTTTTCAGTCAGACAGAGCAATTATTAGGAGAAATATGGCATATGAGTGAGCAGAATCCTCACGACTGGCTTTCGGTCTGTGACACTATGAAGGCCGCAACACACACAATTCCGTAAGGCTTATAGGCGTAAGCATAGGCGAATAGGCCAATCAGAATATGTCTAACGTCGATTGCCCTATCCGCTTACGCTTATGCATTGCCGGGTTGTGAAATTGTGTAGGTAATGGCCTTGACATTGCTGAGACCTCTCAAAGGGGCATTCTCCGAAAAAACCGATAACTTCTCGAAATATTGACTAATAAATAAAGTTAAAAATAAAGTTTTTTTGCGTTTGAAATTTCAATTTTTAACAATATTTTTGAAGCAGAAATTATACGATTTTGCCCGGTCGGATACTTTCTTTTTTTTGAAAAAGCATGGGGATCATTTTTGGATCAACGTTACATTTCGCTCTTTCTTGCTCACCTAGGGAGGAAAAGTAGACGAGTCCTTCCCACGTGCAAAATTACCACCCGAGCCGAAGGCGAGGGCGGTATGCACGTGGGAAATGCTTGTCTGATTAACCTCCCGAGGGTTGCATACGATTTTTCTGCCGAAATGCGGCGAAAGTGACGTTTATGCCATCGGTGCCCGTAATCACGCGATTTTAACCTCGCTTCGCTCGGTTAAATCGCGGATTCCGGGCGCAATGACATAAAATTTTGTATGAAACGCGTGCGTAATATATTTTTCGACTCGTGGGATTGTAAAACTCGCCTTCGGCTCGTGTTACAAACCTCCCACGAGTAAAAAAATATATTACGCACGTGTTGCATAATATACTATTCTAACCGAACGAAGTGAGGTTAGAATGCTCACTTTCGGCGCATGTAGGCAGAAAAATCAAGTATCGATGTTCCAGAATAGAAGAAAATACGACGAAACTATTAAAACTGAAATAAAATCTAAAAGGAATTGGTTCCCCATGATGAAAAAAATATCAAAAGTTATTGAAAAGATCAAACTTGTTTCGAGAATTTCTTCAAAACAAAAGAAAGTGTCCTTCCCGGCGAAATCGTGTAATTTCTGCTTAAGAATTGAAAATCGAATCCTTGAAAAAACATCCCCGGAAAAAATATCCCGGAAAAAAAATCCCGGAAAAAATATCCTCGGAAAAAATAGCCCCGGAAAAAATATCCCCGGAAAAATTATCCCCAAGAAAAATTCTAATATTTAAATCCTAATAATAAATATTTCAAAACCCTAATTTTAATAATTTAATTAATAAAAATTAGTTAATATAAAGGATAGAAGGGAAGCGGGTGAATCACAAAATGAAATACATAAAAGGGTTAAGGGTTCGATTCCCCATGAAATTAAATCATGTTTTTTTTCCTCAAATTTTCATTTAATGTGCTATGTGAGGAGTGGGAGGGGGCTTCCCTCCAGACCCCCCCCCCCC